TCCCAAGGCTTGTTACTGGCCAAATGGTTTGTTCTGTGACACTGCATTCTGGTTTTAGACTCCGAGCAGAGCAGAGCAGAGGAAGCTGCCCTAGCTGGTCTAGGGACAATCCTGTACAAACAAGCAAACTCTCAGAGAGAGGGAGTGAACAGGGAGAGCCAGCACGAGTTTGGCAGCACAGCTGCAGTGCAAGAGGCAAAGGGGACTTGGCCAGTGACCTTCAGGGAAGACCAGAGAACGCACAGGTTGCTTGCAACACAGCCAGCAAGGTCGACGCAGAAAGGAAGTAGAGGCTATGGACCAAGACGACTCCCCAGTGGCGGTGACCCGCAGGGTCTGGGCAATGTTTGTGTTCTTGCCTGAGGTCAGCATGGCGTACACAGGCAACAATTGCAAGCTCATAGCCTTGCTGGAAGGAAATGTGAGAGCACTGGAGTGTCCACCCTCGAGGGAGTAGAAGAAAATGAGTCTTTAGACAGAATGGTCCAACGGCAACAGCCAAAGGTAGTAAGGGAACTGGAAGAAGAGAATCTCAAGGCAAGGGAAAATGAGGAGGAAACTCCTTGGGAAGGGTGACAGGTGCAGAAGAACTAGACAACGAGCTGCTCCAGTGGAAGCAGTGGAACTATGGATCTGCTTTCAGGTTCTCAAGGATGATACTAGAGGGAAAACTGTAGTAGAAGAACTACAAGTCATTTCGTGCAACACTGAGCAAGGGGCTGAAAGTCAGTAGAGCAGTGTCAATGGCATCAAGGTCTACAAGAGCAAGAAAAGAATTAGTTGAGGGAGAGTTCCTGCCACCGCAGAATGGCATCACATGTATGTCATGAACCCCTGTGAACTCAGCAGGTATGGTGTCTCCCTAGAGGGCAGATCAGTGCTGTAACTGAAGGATTGCCAAGGCAGGAGAAGGGTTGCACCTTAGAAGGACTGGACAGAATGTGGTTGGACATATACAGCATGGAGTATATCAGGAAAGCTTTCAACTGAAGGGAAGGGAGAAATACACCTGGGCGTAACAGCAGACGAAGGCTTATGCACCGCATCACAGAGAGAGAGAGCAGCTCTTACAGCATCCAATAATAGTCTTCCAAAACATGTAGGTACATGTAGGAAGACAGTTACAGTATAAAGCATGCAGCCTTCAATGTCTATATACTAATGCCCAGAGTATGGGGAACAAACAGCATGTCAAACTCTTAATGTAGGAGAGCAATTACCACCTGAGAGGCACAACTGAAACTTGGTGGGATGACTCTCAGGACTGGAATTCAACAACTGAAGGATATAACATGTGCAAGAAGAGCAAAAGGAACAGGGAGGGAGGCAGGGTTGCACTTTATGTTAAAGATTTATCTCTCTGCACAAAAATGCAGCAGGATGCGCTTAGCAGTCCCATCGAGAGCAGATAATTTTTTAAAAAGAAAATTCAAAAGGCACTATTACAAAGAATTCCAACAAAGAAAATAAGTAGAAGGCAACAGAAGAAGCTGATGTGGCTTCACAAAATGCTCAGAGATGCTCTGGAAACAAAAAGGACATAAGTGGAAGGAAGGCCGAGTGACAAAGGACGCATACAGGCAGGTTGTATGGAATTGCAGGGAAGGCATCAGGAAAGTTAAAGCTGAGAACGCACTGAGGTTGGTGAGGGATGCTAAAGCATCTGGAGAGCCCTCTGAAGGGTGTGGTTTAGCCTGGAGTCCTGCACTGAGCAGAGGGCTGAACCCGATGGCCTTCTTGGGCCCTTCCATTTGTATGATTCTGTCCACGTTGTAGTTACACCAATGGAGAGCTTTCCTACATGAGGCTGTTATCTACCTCCAAGCACTACACAAAAACATTTCTTTTCCTGTTTTGCTGCGAGATAACCTCCACATGGCACTCTGCAAATGCATTTTTCCTACACTTTTTTAACATTCTATTTTCTCTGTTTTAAGAAAAGCTCACCAAAATGTTCTGCTTAAAAACAGAAGTGAAACTGGAAGGTCACAAGTTCATCTAAAAAACCTTGAACACCACGAGCGGAGAATGATGACTGCAAGGTAGATGCCTCCTCTTCCTGCAACCCTGGCGTGGGACCCACTACTGTCTACACAAGAATGGGGAACCCGAGATGTTCCTGATGTTGCCAGATTACAATTTCCATCATAACTGGCTATGCTAATGAGATCTGGGGGCTCAACAATGAGATTGGAAAGGCCCTCCCCCTTCCTGGTTCTGCAGCAAGATGTGAGCATGCATTTGAGCACTGGGCCAGCTTTCATGGATGTTTCATGCCAGACTAGAGGAATGTGGCTGCTGTTTGGGACTGGATGCAGCTCCCTTCCTCTACCTTTCCGTTGCTCCTGGATAGTCTTTTACAAGATATGAAAAATGCCAGTTTGAAATGCTATCCCAGTGCCCCAGACTGAATTCTAGCACACTCCAAAAACCAATGAGAAGCCAGTGGCAGACAAACTTCAGCTTCTGGGCTTCTCAGGGTCTTTAAGAGGGCCTGAGCACAGGAATAGGATGCATGAAGGAGGAAGCTTCTTTCTCTAAAATTAAACTGACAGGAAAGAGATTGGAAGATTGCCCTGAACATTTCAAAACTTCTGAGTGAGCATTACAAGAGTTAAAGAAACTAGACTGTAGATGGAAGAAAGCTAAATACTGGATGCACTGAACTTAACATATTTCTATGACATTCTTTGCTGAAACAGTGTGCTCAGTCTTGATCCCAGAATCTCCAAAAGGATATATTAGAAAGGATAGGGGAAAGTTCAGCAAAAATGTTTGTAAGTGCAAAGAGACTTCATATAAGGCAACTGTGAAGGTATTGAGATTGCTTGGCTTAAGGAGAAGATAAATGGAAATTGGGGTCTTATGAAAATCCCTTGCCACCTGCACATGCATCTCAAGAATAAAGAGGTACCACCAAAACTCAAAAACTAATTAGAATAAATAACACTGATATAAAATAGCATTTATTGCACACCCAATGGACTGCACCATGAAAAAACACCTGGCATTCTCAATACGCTTTTTGTTTGTGCACCGATCGATATGCCAGTGATGGTAGAAGAAAGATGGAATGAGAGATACTTGACACCCTGAAAACACAGATGGAACGGATGTAGCAAAATCTGCACATTCCTACTAGCAGATGCTCCCAGGTTCTGGTGGAGCAGCTTTTCAAGCTGGGACAAGGGCTGGAAAGAAGAGTTCCAGAATTCACAGAAGGAAACTGACACTGCATGTATCTAAATGGGAAGGATGTAGGGAAGAGCACTCATGCCTCAACCCTCCCCTGGTATTACATGCACATAAACTTTCCACCAGAAATTACCATTTTAAGGATAATTTTAAGTATAATTGAGGAAGCTTTTGTTGAACACTTAAAGGACCCCTTCTCCATCTATCAGGCTGTTTGCTAACTACAATTTAAGTCTCCAGGTCCTGTTCAACTCTGCTATCTTCCATCACCATAGAAGAACAAAAGTAAAGAGTGAGGCCTTCCCATCCATCACCCCTTGTCTTTGAATTGTCCAACCTGGATGTGGTAAAGGATGTGCAAAAGTACAGTTGGTGAGTTAGTATCTGGAGAAGCAGCTAACTGCCTCATAAAGCAGGGTATTAAAACATCTCCTTGTGGTACCATGGGATTTTATTGCATTTCATTTCAAAATAAAGTTCAAAATAGAAGCAACAAAAAAAGAAGAGAGGGTGCAATGGTACAATTCAGGTCACTAACAGAGCAATCCTATGGCCCCCAGGTAGCATCTCAGTGTCCATAGGACTCTTCAGATTTCCAGATCCAAGGTCAGAGGCAGTGCTCTGACCTCAGAATGGGGCATCCCTGCTCAGATCACTCTCAGGCTGTAAGAGCAAACATGGTTAGAAAGCAGTTTGGAGGCAGGGCACAGAGTTGTCCAGGTTCTCCAGGAATGGGCTGCCTGGCTGACTTCCAGGGCAGGGAGAGCAGGGGCACAGAGTTTGCTTCTGTGCTCGGCTCACAGGATGCCAATAATCATCTGGTTTTAGGGGTTTATGGGCATCTGAATCACTGCTTGTGATTCTCAGTGTATCTTCTTGTTGGACATCTACAGAGTAACACAGCCAAAAGAGAAGCAGCCTCTATGAAGATGGCCGATGGAGTCAGCATTGCTAAAAGCTCCAGGCCCCAGGTGTGCCACATCCAAAATAAACATATGCATTTCCTTCATAAATAGGTGCCCTTTGGTGGAAGGTTGTTACGATACTGAGAAAGTCCCTGACATTCTTCGGCGTTCTCAAAAGGAGCAACCTTTTTTAAGCCAACTGGCTACTGCCTGATCTTTTCAGACAATTTATCATTATCTGATTAGTTCTGTTTTAATTCATTATTATATTAGGGCTTGGATCCAGATTTGCACTGGATCACCTGTGCTGGCAGAAGTAGACTTCCTCACCTACTTCACACAGCACTCCATCCACCCCCAAGAAAACACTACACACAGAAGCAGAGAGACCACGCTGTGAGCTCCGTCCCCGTTTGACGGGCATCCTTGGAATTAGACCTTCCACAAGCAGAGCCCCTTCCCCCTGTGAGTTACATGGCGGGCTACCTTTAATCACTTTGACATTCGTGGCAAAATGTACAAAACTGTTTAAAATGCCACTATTTGCTAGATGAGTGAAACTATGAGAGATGAGATGCAGGTGTCCACACATGCTTTTTTTAGTAGCGGGAAGGGAAGAAAGAGGGTGGCTTTTGCAGCTGGACTGAGATGGTATTGCACTGGGAGGTTTAGCCTGCAATCATATGCACCTGGACCAAAGAGTAAATTTCTCTGAATTCAGTAGAACCTACCTACCTGCCTCCAAGCTGACATGCAGAAGATTGCACTGTGAAGCAATGCATTAACATACCCATTTTCTTGCCTGCATTTATACTCATAAATTAATGCTGTACTAGAATTGAGATTAAAATATTGTACAGGTTTTAGAAAAAGACTTGAAATAAAATAAAAATCCCATACCAATCCCATTCAAGACGGGTGATTCACTGTTAACATCCAATACTCCAGGCAAATCAGGTTCCCCTTCACATACATTGAAATCCATGTCTGGCTTTTGGGAGCCATTCCCAAAGTGTCTAGAATCCTTCTCATAACTGGCATCTCCATTCTGCAGGCCATTGTGTGGCTTTTTCAATGGCATAATTTGTAAACCACTGGGGGTAGTCCGGTAAGATACGGTTTTAGCAGCTCGATCTCCCGAAGAAGCAGCTGGTTTTGCCGTGTAGCCCTTTTTTGGCTTTTGAAATGCAGGGGTTATGCGCTTCCTCTTATGGGACAATCCTCTGCTCTTCCCAGGATCAGGTGTTCTGTGTGGCATCTTGTCAAGAGAAAGCCCTCGGCCCTCTCGTAAAAACTTTGCTGTGCTGGCTTGCTTCCCATGCTTTGCGCGCTTCTCTCTCGTGACGTGCAGCCCATTGAATTCATCGATAAATTCCTCACAGTGCAATAAATGGTGTTCCGGTTCCCATGTGTCTTCATTGCTCCCATAACCTTTCCACCGTATAAGATATTCCCATTTACCTTTTTTGTTCTTCCTTTTATCTACAATCCTTTCAACCTAAGTGGAAAAAATGGAAAAACTAAATGGGTAAAGGAAATATAATTCAGCTGCAAACATAAACACATTTTGCTAGGAGAAAACCCTTTGAACTTGGTAGGGCTTACTTCTGAGTAGCTTGTCTAGGATTGTACTATCAGTGATCAAAACACATTGTTGATCAGGAGAGCGATCATCTAATTAAAGAAATCTCAACCAGTTTTCCATTTTAGTTGATTACTCAATCAAGTCCACATTAATTAACAGATTGATTAAACATGCATTAATTTGCACAGGAGAAACCCCTCTCCCCATGGATTGGATCCTGACAGATGGGGACTTCACTTAGTCAACATGATAACCCACATTTAAGAACTGACCACAGACTGAGTGTGGGTTGTTGCTGAACAAGGGGCAGTTTTACAAATTAAGGTTATAACACTATCTGAACCCAGTTTCATTCGTTAACCTTGGATTGTTAATTATGAACAATCCATTAAGAGAACCCATGGGTAGGTGTTGGATTGTGAACCGTGGGTCATTTGTTGTGACTTGTTATCTCACACTCAGACATGTGAGATAACAAGTTACACTGAATTCAATGATAACCCACACTCAACCTTTAAGCATGGGTTAGAGTGTTGTCTGAACCCAGTCTATGTCTGGATCCAACCTAATGCTTGAAAAGGAAAAGTTGGTTTTCCTTATTTGTAGATAATGTACACATGTACTGCAGTGGATAAAATCTTAGAAATCACAGACCCTGTCCTATCTAAAAGAGAGAGTGCTTCTTCTAGCCCCCCATAAAAGGTGGGATTCATTGCATCTCAACAGCAGTAACTTGGATTTTCTAGCATTTTTGCCAATGAAAATTAGGCTCATTTGCATGAACCTCTTCAGCTTGCATCAGAAAATATTTTGTCACCTACAGTAAGGGTGGTTAACTTATGACAGTCAGACATTTTGGCCTACAAGTTCCCTCATTTACTTCAACTGTTGGAGCAACTTCAGCTTTGTTGTCATTATTTGATTCCATTTCACTCTGAGAAATACATGCATTTTGGTGACGTATGTGCATGCTAACCATTGGCCATGTTCTCTAGGGCTATTAGTTTTGGGGGGACAATTTGAGGCACTAGAATGACTGGGAGAATGGTAAAAAAAACACATGCAAATCAGGAGTTAGGTGTCAAAGTGGTCCAAGGCCTTTTACTATCTGGGTCAGAAAAAGTAACTGTGGAACCCTCAGTTGCTCACCGTGATGCATTTGTGCAGCACTTTAAAGAGAAAAGTTGCTCAGGTTTGTCACAAGATTGACTACATAATTAATGTAGGTCCTGTTAACAGAGGTGTTCAGAGGCTGTCTAGTTCAGGATTGTTGGATGAGTTCCAGTTATTGAGGCCTGATGATGTGGACAAGGTGCAAGGTCAGTTCGGCCTGTGTGCTCGACCCTTGCTCATTGCGGCTCTTCGCCACGGAAGGGATTCACACCTGGGTCCAGGTGGCTACATGTGCCTCCTTGAAAGAGGGAGTGGTGCCAGCCTCTTTAAAAGATTAAGCCTCTCCTAAAAAAGAAAAACTGAAATTGGACCCAGAGGATGTGAATAATTACAGGCCTGTAGCCACTATCCCCTTCCTGGGCAAGGTGTTTATTTATATTTTTTTTTACGATTTATATCCTGCCTTTTTCCTACAGAGGGCTCAAGGCAGCTTACACCATTCTCCTCCTCCATCTTATCCCCACAACAACAACCCTGTGAGGTAGGTTGGGTTGAGAGTGTGTGACAGGCCCAGAGTCACCCAGTTGGCTCCATGGCTGAACGGGGACTAGAACCCAGATCGCCTGAGTCCCAGTCCCAGGCTCTTACCCACTAGGTCGTGGCTAGGCAGCTCCAGGCATGCTTGGATGAAATGGATAATCTAGACCCTGTTCAGTCAGGCTTCAGGCCTGGTTTTGGGATGGAAGCTGCCTTGGTCACCCTGTGGGAAGACCTTTGCTGGGAGAGATGGGCAAGTATGACCCTGTTGATGATTCTCTTGGACCCCTCAGCAGCTTCTGATACCATCAACCTTGGTATCCTTCTGGATAGGCTGGCTGGATTGGGAGAGGAGGCACTGCATGGCAGTCGTTCTACTCCCATCTGACTGCCCTTTTCCAGCAGGTGGTGCTTGGGGATAGCGGTTATGCCATGGAGTACCTCAGGGCCCCATTTTATCCCCCAGGCTCTTTAACATCTACATGAAACTCCTGGGGGAGGTCATCCAGAGGTGTGTGCTGAGGGTCCATCAATATGCAGGTGACATTCAGCTCTACCTCTCTTTTTATCAAATGCAGGTGAGGTGTCGGCCAATCTGATTCAGTGTCTGGGCTTGGTGATGGACAGGATGAGAGCCAATAAACTGAGACTCAAGCCAGACAAGACGAAAGTACAGTGGGGGGGGGGGGGGCATCTGTCCAGCTGGGTGATATTCAATCTGTCCTGAACAGGGCTGCAACTCCCCCTATAGGGTGGGTTTGTAGTCTGGGGGTGCTTCTCAATTCAGAACTGTTGCTTGAGTCACAAGTGGACTCAGTAGTACAGCACACCTTTTATTGGCTTGTGATGATATATCAACGATACCCTATCCGGACAGATAGAGCTTAGTTACAGGTAACCACTCGTTTGAACTACTAGAATGCACTCTGCGTGGGGTTGCTTTTGAAACTGGTTCAGAAACTTCAACTGGTTCAAAACAGGACAATGCCGCTGTTGAGAGGAGCTGGCCTATGAGATCACGTCACTCCAGGCCTCTTTCAGCTGAATGGGCCGTCACAGATGAAACTCGTAAGCATGAAAAAAGAAGCCGGATGGATTAGATGAAAGGTAAATGTCGGTCATCATGAAGCTTCCCACAGTGGTCAACCAGATGCCCAAGGAGGGCCCAGAAGAGCACCAGCCCATGGTGGCACCTGGCAAGGGGTGATCAGCAGGATACTGTCTCTATATAGTGTGTGTAAACTGGCGCAAAGCACGCTTTGTTACAGAAGGGTTAACTGCCAGGCAGAATAAAAATGCCACAAGGGTTAGGCGTCTGCCAGCGAGGCACTGGTGCTCAAGGCTAAGGCCCTGGGAATGTGAAAGGGGGAGATACTGTAAATTTTGGGCCAGGACAGGAGAATTCACATTCTCGAGGCCAGGACAGGAGATTGGGGCAATAAAGGCAAATGGCCCTCACCGGGGATCCATCACGCACGATCGCTGTTTGATTGGGGAAGGGGGGTAAAAAAGAAAAGGAGTTCAGGGTCCCTCTTTTCGGAGAGGTTCTACTCTTGCTGCTGGTGGCTCCGCTGAAGGACGCTGTCCTACTCGTATATTTGAAATCTGGTGCATATAACTAAACTAGGGAAGCTTTGTTATTTTGAGTCCGAGGAGGCCAACAGTGCTGGGGGTCTCGGAGGGGGGGTGTTGATTGCCTGTAAAGTATATCTGTGCTGCTCTCCAAATCCCCTTCTTTTCCCTTCCTGTTGTATAACTGTACCTTGTGTTTTATACCCCTTTAGTACCCTTGACCCCTATCTTTTAGCTTTTTAATAAAACCCTTTCCCTCCAATGGTTGGGTTCTTTGTGCAGAATCCAGTGTCCGGCCTGGGATTTGGGGCCACAGGGAGGTGGGGACTCCCAGGTGGCTGACCAGTACAGTCTGTGTTGATTTATTCAGCTATCTATCTGTCTGCCCACTTACCTACATCTAAAAGGTAAAGGAAGAGCTGGCGCAAGCTCATCTGATTTCAAAATCAGAGCAGTCCACAGAGAGATATATGAAAATTTCATTCATGTTCACAAATCAAACATATTGTGTTTTCACTCCCAAATCCCAAGGAAGATAGTCTTTTATGGAAAAAAAAAATCCTTCAGTATTCTGAGCGTCTCAGTTCCTGGTTTGTTGTTGTTTTTTAGATGCAGTTTTAAAAGTGCACATTTGAGTACGCTCTTTTAAGAGTTTTTCCCTCCCACTAGTAATGTGCTTTTTACATGTCTGAAATGAAAACAGAGTGTAATTGAGCATGGGGAACTGAGGTTGGCTTCAATGTCGAATTCAGAGAATACCGGTGATTGCAAAACTCACCTGCTCATTCATTCCTATGTCCATAAAAATGTCTGGGGATGTCTATGGATTCTTCCTCACTTGAGGGTAAGCGGCATCAACATTACGCTACCATGAGCTTTTTGATGCATCCTTCAAAACCTCTGCTAAAGAGAGTATGCTACCACTGGATTTGGCTAATATTGCATATGAAAACACAACAGACAGAAAGAGGGAAATGGATACTTCATAAATGTAAGGTTCGGAATACTCCCAGAGTGAAAAAAGCATGTTTTTTAAATTAAAGTTTTATTTTTAAAAAAACTGCTTCATGCAGCAATCACCCAATGGGATGATCTAAGGAGGGGTTTTGGCATATCTCCTTGATTTCTTCCACTTTTGAATACCTCATTCTTAATTGCATTTGTTGCTCATTTCATGATTGTCAAGCACAGTTCACAAGCACAAATTATCCCTGTATATCAGATGCTAAATTTGTACACATGCCCCTGATTGCAATCAGAGAAAAGCAGAAATCAGAAATTAGGCTGTATCTGCAAATTTTACACAGGAGATCAGTACCATGCTATTACAATTCTATAAACTTATTATATAATGTAAAAACATACATAAACTGGTCAACAAAATGAGACCAACTTCAAAAACTACAATAATATACAAAACTTGTATTCAAATTACTATTGGCAGCAACCATGCCAACTTGAATTGACTGCTCCTGTAACCTGAGCCTGTACATTTGCAAAAGGGCTACAGCATCTTTGACCAACCTTTTACCCATTTTCAGTCCAGATCTAGAATTGACCTATAGCCGAACCCTGTAATCCAACAGAACGTCATCAGAACTTACGGGCCCACGAGGTAAACTGGCACAGACACAACCGCTCCCATGATAATAGCACTGTTGCTGAACATGTGCCCATAAATTTTGAAAAGT